CATGTCCCAGCAATGGGACTGTTCAATCAAATGGCAAATCCATTTCTAGTTTTTTAACGAAATCTCCACACTGCTTTCCACAGTGGCTCTACTCATTACAACAATGTAAGCATTTGTTACTCTGGTGTTTTAAATGTTAGCCGTTTTGGCAAATTCATTGTGGTTTTGATTTGCATTTCTCTGATGGCTAGCAGTGTTCAGCATTTTATCATATATTTGTTGTTTGTCATTAGTACTACTTTTAATAACCATTGAGACCCTTTACCCATTTTTTTATTTGGAATATAGAGTGACAGGAAGAGAGGGAATAAGGTAGAATTCCTCTCCTTTCTTCCACTCCCCCTCCATGGTGAATAAGGATAACCTCTTCAATAAATAGTGTGGGCAAAACTCTGTGTGTTTGTGTGTGAGAGAGAGAGAGAGAGAGAGAATGAAGAATGAAATTAGATCCATATCACTCACCATATACATAATCAACTCATGATGGATCAAAGACCTAAATTTAAGTTACTAGAAGAAAGTGTAGAAAAACTCTAAGACATTGGCATATGGGATGACTTCTTGGACAAAGCTCTCAAAGTACAGGCAACTAAGTGAATGGCACCATATCAAACATCAATAGGGAAAAGAGACATCCAACAGAATGGGAAAAATAGTTGCAAACTGCCTAACTGATGAAGGGTTAGTATCCTGAATGATTCAGCAAATTAAACAATAACAAAAAAGCGAAGGACCAAAACTGTGGTCATTTGGTGAATGAGTTAATACAGAGAACATTTGTCAAAAATTAGTTGGCTGTATGTATTGGATTAATTTCTGGCTGCTCTGTTCTGTTCCATAGATCTCTGTGTTGCTTTTTTTTTTTATTCTAAAGATTTATTTTATTTTTATTGGAAAGGCGGATATACATAGAGGAGAGACAGAGAGGAAGATCTTCCGTCCCATGATTCACTCCCCAGGTAGCCACATCGGCTGGAGCTGAGCCAATCCGAAGCCAGGAGCCTCTTTCAGGTCTCCCACACGAGTGCAGGGTCCCAAAGCTTTGGGCCGTCCTCGACTGCTTTCCCAGGCCAGAAGCAGGGAGCTGGATGGGAAGTGGAGCTGCCGGGATTAGAACCGGCGCCCATATGGGATCCGGGCGCATTCAAGGCGAGGACTTTAGCCAATAGGCCACGCTGCCGGGCCCTGTGTATTGCTTTTTACTCAAGAACCAAACTGTTTTAATTACAATACCTCTGTAGTATACTTTCAGGTCAGATATTGTAAAGTCAGCTTGATTTTTCTTGCTTGGGATTACTTTTGCTATTTGGAGTCTTTTGATACTCTATTTGACTTTTAGGATCATTTTGTACCATTCTGTAAAGAATATCATTGGTGTTTTGATAGAGATTACATTGAAGCTGTAGATTGTTTTTGGTAATATACACATTTTAATAATATTCTTTCAATTCATGTTTTGCTCATCTTTTTAAAGTTCATTTTTATTATTTATTTGAGAGGTAGAGAGACAGAGCTCTATCTGCTGATTCCTTCTCCAAAGCCTACAGTGACCACAGCTGGGCCTGGGTCAGACCAGGGCTGTAGCCAAGAATCCGAACACAATTCAGTTCCCACAGTGGGTGGCAGGAGCTGAATGACTTTGCGCGGTCTCAGCTGGAAGGAAACTGGAGTCTGGAGCTGGGGATAAGACTCAGCCACTCCAAGGCGGAATGTAGTCATCCTACCTGCTAGGTCAAAGCCTGCTCCTCTTCATCTTTTTGTGTGGATTTTTTTGTATTTATTTTTATTTTAAGGTCAGAGTTGCAGAGAGAGAGAGAAATCTACTTTCTGGTCCACTACCCAAATGCCTGCAATGGCCAGAGCTGAGCCAATCCAAAGCCAGGAGTCAAGAGCCTCTTCCAGGTCTCCCATGTGAATGCAGGGTCCCAAGGCTTTGGGCCGTCCTCCACTGCTTTCCCAGGCCACAAGCAGGGAGCTGGATGGGAAGTAGAGCAGCCTGTACTAGAACTGGTGCCCATATTGGATCCTGGTGCATACAAAGCAAGGACTTTGGCCATTAGGCTAATGTGCTGGGTCCAAATTTTTACTTCTATAAATTTTTTTTTCTCTTCTTTCATTGCTTGTGGTTTAAGTGTTATTTGTAAGAAATCTTTATTCAATTTGAGGCTACAAAGATTTACATCTGGGATCCTGGTGTGATGACACAATTGACTTTAACTCCTCTTGCAAACACCAGGGTCCTATATTCGTGTCAGTTCATGTCCCGATCTCTGCACATCCCATCCTACTCCCTGATTGTAGCCTGAGAAAGCAGGGGAGGGTGGCCAAAAGCCTTGGACCTCTGCTCCCCTGTGGAAGACCCGGGAGAGGCTCCCAGCTGCTGGCTTTGGATTGGTTCAGTTCCAGACATTGCAGCTACTTTGGAAGTGAAGCAGCAGATGGAGGATCTTTCTCTCTGTATACCTGTCTTTCCAATAAAAATAGAGAAATCTTTTTTAAAAAAAAAAATTTATTTTAGGGCCCGGCGTGGTGGCGCAAGTGGTTAAGGTCCTCGCCTTGCACCCCTGGGATCCCATATGGGCGCCGGTTCTATCCCGGCTGCCCCGCTTCCTTTCCAGCTCCTTGCCTGTGGCCTGGGAAAGCAGTCGAGGACAGCCCAAAGCTTTGGGACCCTGCACCCATGTGGGAGACTGGGAAGAGGATCCTGGCTTTGGATCGGCATAGCATCGGCTGTTGCGCTCACTTGGGGAGTGAATCATGGGACGGAAGATCTTCCTCTCTGTCTCTCCTCTCTGTATATCTGCCTTTCCAATGAAAAAATAATAAAAATAAATCTTTAAAAAAATTTATTTTATTGGAAAGCTCAATATATAAACAGGAGAAAAGACAAAGATCTTTCGTCTGCTGATTTCACTCCCCAAGTGGCTGTGACAGCCGAAGCTGAAATGATCCAAAATTATGAGCCAGGAGCTGCTTCCGGGTCTCCCGCATGGGTGCATGGTCAAAGCTTTGGGCCATGATTGACTGCTTTCCCAGGTCACAAGCAGGGCTGCCAGGATGTGAACCAGCACCCATATGAAATCTTGGTGTGCGCAAGATGAAGATTTTAACCACTAAGCTACTATGCTGGGCCCAATAAATCTTTTCTTAAAGATTTACATTTGTGTTTTTCTTTGGTGTCCTGAAGCTTTATATTTAGGTCTTTGATTTTTGAGTTAATTTTTTAAGTAAAGTGAGTTTACGGGTCCAAAATAATTTCTTTTTCTTTTTTAAAAATTTATTTATGGAGGCTCAGCACGGTGGCCTAGTGACTAAAGTCCTCGCCTTGAACGCACCGGGATCCCATATGGGCGCCAGTTCTAATCCTGGCAGCTCCACTTCCCATCCAGCTCGCTTGCTTGTGGTGTGGGAAAGCAGTGGAGGACGGCCCAAAGCCTTGGGAGACCCTGCACTCGTGTGGGAGACCCTGAGGAAGCTCCAGGCTCCTGGCTTTGGATTGGCTCAGCTCTGGCCATTGTGATCATTTGAGGAGTGAATCAATGGGTGGAAGATCTTCCTCTCTGTCTCTTGTCCTCTCTGTATATCTGACTTTTCCATAAAAATAAAAATAAATCTTAAAAAAAAAAAGATTTATTTATGGGCCCAACACAATAGATTTTTTTTTTCTTGGCACAATAGATGTATTTGTTTATTTTACTTCAAAGTCAATGTTAGAGAGGTCTTGCATCTATTGATTCACCCCCTTAGTGGCTCAGTAGCCAGGGTTAGACTGTGGGAAGTTGAGAACCAGGAGTTTCTTCCTGGTCTCCCACATAGGTGCAGGGATCAAGGAGTTGAGCCCTTCTCCTGTGCTTCCCTAGGTCATTATCCATCAGAAGTGAAGCTGCTGGAACTTGAACTAGCACCATGTAGGATGCCGGGGCTACAGGGGGAGGAATTGCTTGCTATACCACTGCCCTCCCCCAGCTTTTTTTCTGCATGTGCATATTTAATTGTCTGCTCATCATTTGTTTAAGTTGGCAGCTGGATGAGGATTGAAAGAATCCTCTCTGTAAAGCACTAGCCACTGCTCAGGCTTGCTTTGTGCCCTCTACTTTAACTCAGCTTGCTCTCCTGAACAGACTGTTTGCTGATTTCAGGGCTTTGCTGGGTCGTTCTTTGTCCTCAAGATCCCCACATGCTGCTTTTGCAGTTCTCAAAGTTTGTGTTGTAATCCAGGCAGCTCTTACTCTAGGTAAACAGCACATGGCTCCAGTCTTGGCCTTTTCTTTGTCATCGTGGCAGTGAGGATCTGAGCTCACTGTGATCTTTGAGGAGTGCAGAGGAAATGCCAGACGCTGAGTTAGGCCCCATTCAGTGTGTCACTTGTTCGCCTCAGCTTTGGAGTGGTTAGTCTAGAATCTCACTTCATTTATTACATTATTTTTTGTGACAACTTGATGTATTTTTAATTATTATGTTATTTATTTGAAAAGCAGAGTGAGAGAAAGAAAGATCTTAAATTCACTAGTTCATTCCCCAAAGGCCACAATGACAAAGGGTTGGCCAGATGGAATCCAGAAACAACTTCTGAGTCTCCCAAGGATGTGGGCCATATCCTGCTGCTTTCCAGGTGTATTATGTGATAGTGCCAGCAGCCTGGACCTTCCCCTGGGTCTCCCCCATAGGTACAGGCACCCCACAACCTGGGCTATCTTTGACACTTTACTGAGGCATACTCACAGGGAGCTGGATTGGAAGTAGAGCAGCTGGGACTGGAATACCAGCTCAACAGGCAGAGGCTTAACCTGGTATGCCACAGTGCCAGCCTGAGAAATTTTCTAACAATCATTTCCTGTCTCAGCCCTCATTGTTGTATCTGTTCCACCAAGCTGTAATATCATTTCTTCTTTCTTTGAATTATAGTCCAGCTATGTGAATGGTAGTATATAGCAGGAGTCAATGTTCCAGAATTACTCCTGTAACTTTCCTAATTGTAGCCTGTTTTTCCCTCCTTACAGGAAATGACTTAGAGGCCTTATGAATACATTTGTGCGTTCTTGCTTCAGACTGTACAATTGAGGGCCAACCCAGTCTGGAAGTACCTCTTGTTCCTGTTGCAAGGAAACCACTACCTCAGCAAACAAAAGGAAAGAAGGAGAAGACTTACACCATTTTTTACAAAGAAACCAACTTGCTTCCCAAAACGGTTTCGGTGTTGCTAAGAGGCTCTGTAGGCAAGTGGTCTGACAGGCAGGCTCTGTCAGGGTTCTCCAGAGACTTGATCTTCCTTCTTCCGGACTTTGTGACGCAATTCTGTACTGCTTTTAAAATTGCTGTTGATCAGCTTGTGGGTTCTGGGTTCTAACTTTTTTCATATATTAAAGATACATTCTATTACATTTTTAAAAGTTAAGTTATTTTTCTGCCATTGTAAATAAAAATATCAGAATATTGTTGCATAACAATTATAAGTAAATGTTTTTCTTAGCAATCATATCTTTTTATTGAGAGTGGAATGCTAAACAGTTTTTCTACAGCATTTTGGACACACTTTTATTTTTTGTCAGTGGTTCTGTGTGCACTGAAAATACTAATTATATAAAACCTGTTGTCCTCCCATCTACATTGGATCATATGGTCATCTGCTTCATAGAAATGCCTTTTTTAAAACTCAGATTTGCAGAACTTCACTATTTTTATACCTAGCAACAGTTTTGAACAAAAGAATAAAGAAAGGAAAATTCAGGCCCTGACCTGCTTCCGGGCCCTGGGACAGTCCCCCTCCCGCATGTATTGCTGCAGTGCCCAGGACAGTAAAATGGACTACAAGCGGCGCTTCCTGCTTGGCGGGTCCAAGCAGAAGGTGCAGCAGCACCAGCAGTACCCCCTGCCTGAGCTGGGCCGGGCCCTGAGTGCTCCCCTGGCATCCACAGCCCCCTCCGCCCCCCTGGGCAGCCTGACTGCCACTGGCAGCTGCCACCACGCTATGCCCCACTCCACCCCCATCGCAGACATCCAGCAGGGCATCTCCAAATACCTGGACGCCCTCAACGTCTTCTGCCGCGCTAGCACCTCCCTCACGGATCTCTTCAGCACCGTGTTCAGGAACTCTCACTACTCAAAGGCGGCCCTGCAGCTCAAAGACGTGCAAGAGCATGTGATGGAAGCAGCCAGCCGGCTGACCTCGGCCATCAAGCCCGAGATTGCCAAGATGCTGATGGAACTTAGTGCCGGCGCTGCCACCTTCACAGACCAGAAGGAGTTCAGCCTCCAGGACATTGAGGTAGCGTATCTTCTGTCTCACACTGAGGTAAAAAGTGAGCGGATTATCTTAGGTGTTGTTTTAAGATTTTTTTAAATCTCTTGAATGTGGCCTTTGTCCTCTGTTTTTGTGGATACTCTCTCCTTATGAGAAGTGTAGTCTTGCCGGGTTCTAAAATGCTTTGATTTCCAAGTAAGTTGGCCAAAAATTAGTAAGCAAATCAACCTTTATTTTATGTTTGTTTCCTTTATGTTTTGAAATCAGAAACTAATTTCTGTATAGCATGCTGAGGTTTTTCTTTAAGAGCCAGGAGCTAGACACTCTGCCGGCTCTACCTTCGGACCAGAGATGGTCTCTACAAGAAGCCGTTGAACTTATCTGGACAATAAGATGCTGGACTCTATGCTTGGTATATGCTTGCAATGAAAGAACCCCAACTAAACTTGAACTGTGGCAATGCAGCAAGGTAGAGGAATCCACATGGGGGGAGGGATAGGGGAGAGGCAGAGGGAATCCCAGTATCTACAACTGTGTCACATAATGCAAAGTAATAATAATAATAATAATAAAAAAGAGCCAGGAGTTTCTTCCAGGTCTCACACATGGGTACAGGGGCCCAAACATATGAGCCATCTTCTGCTGCTTTCCCAGGCGATTAACAGAGGAAGCTGGATCAAAAGTGGAGCAGCCAGGACACTGATTAGTTCTCATGGGATGCTAACACTGTAGATAGTGACTTCACCGTCTATGCCATGATGCTGGCCCTGAAAATTATTATTTTTTTTTAAAGATTTATTTTTATTATTTTTTCATTGGAAAGGCAGATATACAGAGAGGAGAGACAGAGAGGAAGATCTTCCGTCCCATGATTCACTCCCCAAGTGAGCGCAACGGCCGATGCTATGCCGATCCGAAGCCAGGAGCCTCTTCCCAGTCTCCCACGCTGGTGCAGGGACCCAAAGCTTTGGGCCGTCCTTGACTGCTTTCCCGGGCCACAGGCAGGGAGCTGGAAGGGAAGCGGGGCTGCCGAGATTAGAACCGGCACCCATATGGGATACCGGGCGTGCGAGGCGAGGACCTTTAACCACTTGCACCACTGCGCCGGGCCCGAAAATTATTATTTTAAAGTGCTCAGGAGATGAGTGTTGGTGAAAAAGCCACTTCCATTGCTTGTGTCCCCTATCAGAATGTCTGGATTCAAAAGGTGGGAGATTTCTTTGTTTCACTTTATCTAAGTATCTGTGTCTCTGTCTTTGAACTAAATTAAGTTAAAAAAAATTTTTTTTAAGATTTATTTTTATTTTTATTGGAAAGTCAGATATACAGAAAGGACGAGAGACAGAGAGGAAGATTTTCTGTCCCATGATTCACTCCCCAAGTGAGTGCAACAGCCAGTGCACACCGATCCGAAGCCAGGATCCAGAAACTTCTTCCAGGTCTCCTACACGAGCACAGGGTCCCAAGGCTTTGGGCCGTCCTTGACTGCTTTCCCAGGCCACAAGCAGGGAGCTGGATGGGAAGTGGAGCTGCTGGAATTAGAACCAGCGCCCCCATATGGGATCCCGTGTGTTCAAGGCGAGGACCTTAGCCGCTGGGCCCATCAAAGGCTTTTATTTTAGCCTGAACATTATTTCTCGAGCTCCTCTTCGGGCCTTTCCCCCAGGAGTTCGAGGAGACAGAGCTGGACCTTGTGGTTATTTGTTCACCAGTTCTTGAGGGCAGGTGCTCTTGCTTCCCAGGGCAATGATGATGGAGAAATCGGGCAGAGTAGGTGCTCAGTAAGCCACGGGGGCTATTGCAACACCTGCTTTGTCCCTTCTGCTTTCAGTGGATCAGCCTGGACCACTTGAGTGTAGAAAGGAAAATATTTTTTGCTGTTAAAGTTTGGAATTTTGACTTGGCTTTCCTCATTGAAATGCTGATTAGAATTGTTGGAATACTACCCTTTTTTTTTTTTTTTTTGGTACATAATGGACTAAACTGACTTTCCAAGCCTAGCTTGGAAACCAAATGACAGATTTTAGAATCAGAGTCTATTGTAAGTTTTAGATGGCTAACTTGTAAGCTAGTTTGTTTGTTTGTTTGTTTTACTTTGTTTTATTTTTTGTTTTTTAGCTTTATTTATGTATTTGAAAGGCAGAGTGACAGAAGGAGTTAGAGACCTAGCAACTGCTGGTTCACTCCCCAAATAACTGCAACAGAAAGGGCTGGGCTATGCTGAATCTAGGAGCCAGGAACTTCATCCTGGTCTCCCACATGGGTGGCAGGGGCCCAAACACTTGCCGTCTCCCTCTGCTTCCTGAGACACATTGTCAGGAGGCTGGATTAGAAGTGGAACAACTGGGACTTCAGCTGGCACTTTGATATGGAATGCTGGCATCACAAGTTGTCGGTAAATTCTGAGATGTGGTTGCTGTGTGTAGATCTGCAGACAACATTTTACTTTTTCCCCAGAGCAGTGTTTGTTGTTTCTGGAATTTAGCTGTAAGCCAATAAAGGTCTCTTAAAGTCTTCACCACTCGGATGAAATGGTTAGGCATTTGGAATTTTTTTCCCTTTTGGCTCTTTTAGGGTTTTGTGAGCAAGATCCTGAGAAGTTCTTTAACATTCATCCCTAGGGAAGGGAGTCTGTAGCCTAATGTAGTTGAACTTAATTGTGGGTAAGAAAAGCCTGCAATTTGGGAATATTCAGATGTTTGACTATTTTAACTTAAGACAAAATATGCTCCTTCCACCCTCAGTGGTGACCCCTGCATGCTTCTGGCGTTCCCCCAGGTGATCCCGACCTCTAACCAGATTTGAGATGTGCTCATCGGCGGAGCGATGCTGCTGCCTGTGTCCAAGGCTGCACTGTCAGCCCTGCCATGCTGCTCCGGGGCAGGCAGGGTGCAGAAGTCCTGTCTAGTATGTCCTCGTGGGTGACTTTGCCCTTACCCTGCGTGTTTCACCTTCAACCTGTCAAGTAGAGGAATAAGCTGTGACGGTGGTGTTTGAATAGCCAGCTAGTACTTCTGACACCCTTTCGAGTCCCTTAACCTGTGAAATGAGTTATGAGCCAGAGTCAGAAGATCGGTATTTAGGTGACTATGTGTCTTATGCCCACATAGCCTGGAGCAAATCTTGTGAACATTTCTGAGCCTCAATTTTCTCCTCTCTAAAATGGAGTTGGCACCGACCTACTAGAGTTCTTAATAAAAATCAGAGATCAGTGTGTATGAAGCACTCACTATTCCAGCCCTGAATCTGCTCCCTCGGTCACCTGTAAGTGTAACAGCTTGGGCCCTGGAAAACTCCAGAAGCATTTCCACATCTGCCAAATATGCCCTCGGTGGCCCACATTCCGAGATGTCTCTAGACCCCTTCCCTCGGCAGTCTGCGGCACCCACACCCTATCCACATGGCCAGGTTTCTTACTTTTCAGAAAGTAACACATCCATAACTCTTGTAAAAGCATCTATCATTAGTCTTGAATAAAATTTGCAATGCGAATGTGTATAAATAAAAGGAATTGACTTGTGAGTCATACATTCACTGCACAGGTATTTATTGCATGCCTTGTTTGTGCCAGGTGCTGCCACACAGAGATGCAGCAGACCTTGCTCTGTGTAGCTGGAGGAGCACTCTGGTCTTAGATAAGACATCTCTGAGTAAAGGCCTGAAGGAGGTGAGGGAGCAAGCCTGTTGCTAGTCAGGAGAAGGGTTCCAGAAGGAACAGCTACTGCAAACGTCCCTGCTGCCAACCTGAGCCGGAGTAGGGTGGAAAGATAAGCAGGCTGCTTCGGTCATTCCCCCCAGGGTAGCCAGGTGGGAGGGTGAAGTCAGCCCCTAAAGGGAAGGGTGCAGGCCGGGCCCTGACTTCCCTGGCAGGGAGCAGCAGTGATGCCACATCTGCTCTTGCTCTCTCACACCTTGACAGCTCTGGTTTCCCGGGGGCGGCCCCAAAGCCGAGAGGACAGGCACTCCCCGCCCAGGGCAGCTGCAGGCCTGTGTTTGTTTTCCTGCATTTTCATTGGCTTCCTAAGCTTTCCCACTTTGTGAAAGAGCAGACAGGCATTGTCTCAGATCCTTGCATAACCGAACCTTGCCTTTCAGTTTAATGTACTGACAAATTTTTCCTGTATGCTCTATGATTATTCATGAGTGTATTTGAAATAATTTGTGAGCACTGACTCTTAAGGATCTTAATTCAGGTGTATTAATGTCTATTTTGGATAGCTATATGTCAGAAATATTGTAGAGCAACAGTAATGGAAAGTATTAAAAGCCATTTTCAGAATGTGATTTTCATTAACCTTAATGGAATTAAATGAAATATACTACTGTTCCTTTTTTGTTTCCTAAAGGTAGTTTTATTTCTTTCTTGTTTTGACTAGTAGCTCTTCCATAACAGATTATGAAATAAATATTTTTTAACTGTATGTGCCAAACTAAAATCCAAATAGCTGCTGTTCACCTGATTCATAAAAAGTTTACATAAATCCAACTGAATTCTGATCACTCTCTAGCCTGTCGTTGTTTTTTTTTTCCAAAACTGAAGTGAATTTGCTGTTGTGTAAACAGTCTTCAGAGTTTAGTCTTTAGAGTAAGGTGCAACTTGGGGGTGATTTTATAAACTTGGATTGTGGACAAGATTTACTGTCTGCCTGGCCAGTTCTCCGTGGGTGGAAGCTACTAGGCCAGAGGGAGGGAATGGACTCTGATTAGCTGAGACATGCATGTGCAACCAACTCATTATTCTGAAAATTGCTATTTAGAAGGAGAGAAGTAAAAGATAAACATATTTCCTGCTTGCTAGTATAAGCTGATTGGGGAGGTAGCAAATAGTCCTAATGGTTGAGGGAGCTTCTGTGTAGAAGAATCTTAACATTCTTCTGTGTAAAGGGGATGACACATTAGAAATGTGTCCACGTTGCAGACCATGATGGATTCGGTGGTCAACAACAGAGGGATGTAGGGCAGAGGTCAGGCTTTCTGCATCCTAGTATCATTGAATAGTCTCACTGTTAATGAAATTAGACAGG